CTTTTCTCAGAACTGTTTGTGTATCTTTAATCCTTCCCTGGTCATGGCTTACAAGAGCTTCTTAAACACTCGGGTGAAAACCAGCCCTGTGTTTTCCATCGGAGTGGCAACTATTTCCCCCCAATTATTTTTGGTTGTGTTTTTGCTCTGCAAAATATTTCCCCTCTCTGCTTTCCCACGGAGGCAGCCGTGACACCCAGGGAACCGAGGGAGTTGAGGGAGGATGGGTGGGGCACTTCTGACCCCCAGTCCAGGTGACAGACACCCCCGCCACCCCCACGTTTCCCGGTGGGCTGCGTCCCCGAGCTGGCCCTGGGGTCCCACTGCGCCTGGGGACCCCTGACCCTTCTGCCACATTTGTGTTGGTCTGCACGTTCAGAGTTTTCTAGAAACAAGACAGGGCGAGCTCTCTCTCTGGTCTGGCGTCTCCCACGGAGCATCACCATCTTGAGACTTGCCCAGGCTACCAGGGACGTGCCTAGTTGACTGCTCCCCGTGTCTGAGCACCGCCCCATTGTGCGGACACACGACAACTTTAGGAAAGGTGACCCGAAAGCTGGCGGGCGGGCGCTGGGGTGGCTTCCAGTTCCCGTGAGGCTGTGGTGACGGCAGCTGTCCGCGTGTGTGTGTGTGTGTGTGCATGTGCCCCTCCTCCCGGGGACGCCCAAGGGAGCTGGGCTGGTTCCCACGGCGGGGGCGCGGGGCGCAGTGGGAGAAGCCGCCGGCTCTCCCAAAGCAGCGGCCCCGTTTCCCCACCCCCACTGGGAGCGGACGAGGGTCCGGGCCCCTCTGCCTCCTGACCAGCACGTGGTGTGGCCCGTCTCCCTAGTGTCGGCCAGCGCACTCGCCACGGGTTCCGTCTGCCCTGCCCGGTGCCCGCCGCTGCGGGAACCAGCCATCTTGGTCTCCGATGAGGCGTCTGCTCAGTGGCACCCTTTGCCCCTTCCCGCTTGTCCTGCTCGGTGGCGGGGGTCCCCTCACGGGCCCCGGACGCAGGGCCTCTCTCAGATGCGGAATCTAACGTTTTCCTCCCAGCCTCTGGCTTGTCTCTCTCATCCGCTCTGCAGTGTCCTTCCGACAGAAGGTCTCGTTCCGCTCAGCCCGACCGACTTCTTGTTCTCATGACTCGTGCCCATGGCGTCATGGCCCAACACCCCCCTGACCCAGAGTCACAAAGGTGTTCCGTGCTTTCTTCCACAGCTGGTAGGCGTGAGGTTTAGGTCTACGATGAGTTTCATGCTCATCTGTGCGTAGGATGCGAGGCGTTCAGATCTGGCCCGTGGACGGCCAACGGCTCCCACCCGGTGTGTCGGAAAGACCGCCCTCTCCCCACTGTGTTGCCGGCGCGCCTCAGCCGAGAGTCGGCTGTCCAGGCGGGCGTGGTCAGGCCGGGCTCCGGTCCACCGTCTGCCTGCTCGTCCTCGTGGCGCCCACGCACTGGTGGCTGCTGTAAACCTCCGCAGCACACCCGAACGTTTTTTTTTTGCTGCTCCGACAAAAAGGTATAATTTTTATTGGTTTAAAAAAATAGTAGTGCCTACCTTTTTTACTCCTAAGTGACTAAAAAAAAAAAAAATCAGGTGCCTCTACTTGGATGTGTAGGGTTCCTGGTACCAAGAATCAGCCAATCAGACACAACCTCATTATGCGACGTGACCAATCAGGTGCCACTAACCGTGTGCTCTGCATATTTATGGTTCAGGACGGGGCGCTCACACTGGACAGCTGTCATGTGGGCAGTAGTTTCTTTTACTGGATGACCTCAGGGGACAGGAGTCCGTGCCCCTGACTGACCAGTCAGGCGTGGCGTGTCTCAAAATCCCTGCCCCGACCAGTGTGGCTCAGTGGGCTGTGCGCTGTCCTGCAAATCGAAAGGTTGCCGGTTTGATGCCCGGTCAGGGCACACGCCCGGGCTGCGAGTTCAATCCCCGGTTGGGGCACCTATGAGAGGCAACGGGTTGATGTCTCTCTCCCTCCCTCCCCACCCCCCAAACACGTAAAATCTACAAATCAACTCTCGCGGCACACCCGTCGGAACTCCCGCAGTCTGCGGACACCACCCTGTCACGTTAGTCCTCCGACGTGGTCTGTTCTCAGAGATGTCTCGGCGCCCCAGGCCACCTGCACTCCCCCCCGAGTTTCGGAGTCAGCCTCCGGGGCTCTGGCTGACGTGGCATGGAGGGTGGGGCTTTCCCCGCAGCCTGGCGCCGGCCCTCGCCCGGGGGCCTCGTTCCAGACACGCGTCCCTGGGACGAGGACCCCCGGGCGCTGTGATGCAGGACCCCGAGGGACGGCCTCTGAGTCAGTCAGGGGTGAATTCTCCAGGTGACTCTCGGACTTTTCCAGGAAAGTGCTAGCCTGAAGGGTCACCGCCAGGCCCTGTCCCGGGGGCAGCTGTGTCACAGGCTGCCACGGGGAGTGCCTCTCTGCTAGCCTCCCCTCCCCCCAACAGGCTGCTGCGGGGACCCCGGGCGGCGAGCGAGTGCCACAGCCCCTCAGACCGCACGCCGGCTCCCCCAGATAGTCCCAGGGACCTGCCCCCCCCAGGAGCCACCGTGCAGACGTAATGTCCCCCAGGAGGACTGGCGGGGCCTGAAGACCAAGATGCCCCATGTGTACTGGGGCCCCACAGGGGCCGGGCCAGTCGGGAACGGGCAGCACAAACCAAAGGAGCAGAGCAAACCGTGGCCGCTCACCCACCCTGGCCTCCGGTCTCAGGGTCCCAGCCAAGGCCTCTCCCCGACACATGTGGCCCAGGCTGGCGCCCGCCCCAGACTCCAGAGGCGCTCACACGGCTGGTCTGTGGACCCCACCCCTCACGTGTGCTGGGTCAGCTCGCTGGGCCACCCGGACAAGCAGGGGGACGACCTCTCCTCAGTCTGAGTACCCCGGAACCCTGAAAATGGAAACCTCAATCTGGGCACATGGGAAGCCCCACGGGTCAAAGCTTCCCCCACCGCCCCGGTCACTGCCTGGGCTGACAAAGCCACAAGGAAACGAGACTCTGTGTGCCCGAGTCGGGAGAAGCCACAGGGACGGGGTCAGAGCTCCGCGGAACCGCAGACAGGGGAGCTGGGGGGTGGCGGAGGCATCAGCACGTTCAAAGGACCCAGAACCGAGACGTGGTGTGGTCCGAGGGAGAGACGGCACCGAGATCAAGCACAGGAAGCTCCCTCAACAAGGGGTCAGCCGTGGGAACGCCCGTGGTCACTGAAACGCGAGTGTCGGCGGGGTGGCCACCGGGCGCTGAGACTCGGATGCGAGGAAACCGGGATGGGGTGGCTGGGGTGGCCAGGGACGCAGGGGTGGAGCGCAGAGCCAGACGGTCTAGAAGTTTCTAGCAGGAGCAAGCGCCTGGGGAGGCGACCTCTTCTCCACGCCCCAGGAAAGACACAAACTCCAGGCGGGGAATCGAGACGGCCCGCGGGCAGGACACGGCAAAGACTCGGCCAACCCGACGCGCCGCAGAGAATCGACCAAATCAGGGACCTGGCACTTGGCGCCCCGACAGGACGGGGTCCCCCGCGGGAGCCCGCCAGTGAGCCCCGAGGTGCCAGCAGCGGGCGGGGGCAGGGGGGGGTGTGGGTGCCGTGCCTCTGGGCTGCACGGAGAAGACACAGCCGCCCGGGGACGTGCCCCCAAACCAACCAGCGTCCAAGAGCAGAGGCGCCGCACGCCGCTCCCCGACACACACACTGAGCAGAGCGCACGGCCCTTCACGGGAGCCCCGGCTCCGACCGCTCGCACACCCACAGGGGCACCTGGGAGGTTCGGCTCCGGGCCTGGGACCGGCTTGGCGGTCGAGCCCAGCGAGGCTGTGGGCGCCCGCCGCAGGGGAGCCGGGGCCGCGGCCTTCCCCAGCGATGGCGTCGGCCCAGTGGGTGCCCCGTGCCTGCACGGCAGACACACCTCTGCGTGGTGGGAGCTGCCCTGGGCCCCCTCACCGGCCGCTCTGGCTCCAGAGACTCGGCGGCTCTGCGCTGGGCTGACCTACCGGGCGGGCGGGGAGGAGACCCCACTCCGTGCAGGGTGCACCCCACAAGGTGCTGGACCTTCTCGGCCCTCGGGCCTCATTAGCATTCCTCGGGCGGCGCTGTGGGCTCAGTGACACCCGGGGGCTGAATGGGCGTCCCTCAGGTGCCCGGCACTCAGCAGGCGCCAGGGATGCCTCTCTCCCCACGCCCAACCTGCCCATCAGCATCCTCAGAGAGCCCCCATTTGCATCGAGACAACGGTCCTGCCCTGGCCCCGGGACTGCGGGGACACCGGGCACCCGCAGGCACAGTTGTCCTTTGTGCCCGCCACGGCGGCAGGCGGGGAGCCCGGCCCAGGGCTCACCAGCAACGTGGCCAGGCCACAGCCACCTCCAGACCGCATGTGACGCGGCCCGGGGAGGGTGCCCACGACAGCCCCCGGGGCCCGGGTGCCAGGGCCCCTCCCAGCACGCATCCTGCCTGCCGCGGGGGCACGGTCGCCAGACACAGAGGACACGGCGGGGGTTGGCCGCCTGGTGGGCCCAGCACCGGCCACCCGGGACTGCAGAGGATGGAGGTGGTCACACTCTCCCACGGCCGGGTCAAAGCCTCTGTCCTCACCGTGGCCCGTCACAGCCAGGACGTGCCGCTGGGCGCCAGGGGAGACCGGCGAGGGGAGGGGCGGCAGGGAGTGGTGCCCACTCCACCCGGAACCAGGGCCGCCGCCACCAGGCCACACTCAGGGCGCCGGCCGCCCAGCACGGCCGAGGCGGGGCCTGGAGCCCAGCAGCCCGGGGCCAAGCCAGAACGGGAGGGGGTCCCTGCAGGTGTGGCCAGGCCTCCCGGAGGGATGAGTGTTTGAGCCTCAGGTGGAGCGGGGGAAGGACTCGATGGGCAGACCCTGGGCCGGGGGAGCCCAGCCCAGGCCGTGGAACCCCCGACACCCACCCGGCAAGGGCGGGTGGTCTGGGGAGGGGCGGGCGCCCCGGGGTCGCACCGAGCGCCCAGCCGCGCGGAGGCCCTCACCGGCGCTGTCGTAGCTGTCCACGGGGAAGTGGTCCGGCTTCCGCTCCTCGCACGCGGGGTCGCACGTGATGTACGGCACCGTGAGCGTCTTCTCGCCCGGGCTCAGCCCGTTGTCCTTGTCCACCTTGAGCTTCTTCTTCTTCACCTTGTGAAACAAAAAAAGACAGTTGGCAGCCAGGTGCGTCCTGCACCTTGCCCCCTGCCACCCCAGGGCACCTCAGGGGCCCGCCTCCCACCCAGAGGGCGGGCTGCCCGTGGGCCCCCACAGCGAGCTCACGGCAGGGCGGGGGGCAGGAAGCCTGGACCAGGGCAGTGGTGACGAGGGCTGTGCCCCAGAGGTTGGAGCACATGAGGGGGGACTGGCAGGAGGGGAGGGGCAAGACCACATGCGAACCTGGGGGGGAGGTTCTGGCTGAGGGAACAGCCGGGGCGAAGGGCCCCAGTGGGGCTGGGGACTGGGAGGGGGGTCCCTCCGTGAGGGTGCGGGCCAGTGCCCACCCCACCCTCCATTGGCCACTGCAGCCAGACCACAGGACTCGTGTCCAAGCTGCCCGAACCCTCCCAGCTGCCACCTCCAGACCCTCATCCTCCCAAGCCAGGACGCCAGGCCATGCCCAGCACGGAGAGCCCGGCGCCAGGGCCTTCCAGGAGTCTTGCTTGCAGCCCGTCCCACTCCTGGGGCATCTCCCCTGGGGCACCTCCTCTGGGCCGCCCCAGGCCTGAGTCTGGGGGACACTGGGTCCAGCACGGGGGTGTGCACCCCCCGGGCCCAGGATGGCGCCGACGCCCTGAAACCCCAGGGTCAAACCCCGGCCAGGAGCTGACCCCGCAGCCTCCCTGCCCGCTAGCGAGGGGCCCCCGTCCGGGGCGGGGAGGCTGTTACCATGGCAGACTTCTTGGGCTTGGGGCTGGGGGAGACCAGGGGGTGGCTCCGGGGCGCCTTTCGCACGTAGATCTTCCAGGTGGAGGAGTCGGGGTTCTCGGCGGCGTAGCACCGCCAGGCCGTCTGGAACCGGAGGTGGGAGGCCGTCACCCGCGGAGCTGCCCAGCGGGGCCTCGTGCGGAGGCTGCAGCCCAAACCCTCATGCCCACCAGCATCACGGAAGGGCCGCGGAAAGTTCATGGAAGGGCCCCGGGTCACGTGCATGCCCACACGCCCACCCGTCTCCATGTCCGTGTCCCAGGCCGCCCACGCGTGCCCCGCCGCAAATGAGACAGGCCCAGCCCCCCAGCACTCCCGGCCGTGTTCACCCCACGCTCCCTCCGCAGGCGCCCAGTCCAGGCCTCCCGTGGCGGCAGGCGGTCCCCACGCCCGAGCCCACGCCCAACCCCGGCCTTCCCGAGCACGGGCGTCCGAGAGTGGGACTCCATCCGCCCGGCCGGCGCGGCCGGCCCTTCCTGGAGCAGAGGGCCCCGGAGGCAAGGGCGTCCACGTCCCGGAGGACCCGCGTGGGAAGGGCCAGGGCGGGGAGCAGCTCCCAGTGCCCAGGACGGACACTCGAGGGGCGGGCCCCGTGAACACAGGTAGACGGGACGGCCAGGCCGCCGGGCGGGCTCCGTCACCTGGATGAGCGAGGCTGCCGCTGGGATCTGCCGGTTGAAGTGCTTCTGCCTCTGCTTCTGCTGGACCTTGAGTGCGAAGCCGGAGCCGAGGATGCCCTGGGGGGGGTGGGGGTGGGGGTGGGTGCTCGGGGGCGGCCTCCCCTGCCCGAGGCGGGAGGTGCCCCACCCGAGGAGGACCCTGTGGCACCCGGGGCGGCTGGTAGGGATGGGAGGAACCAGGGAATCGGGTAGGGAGCCCCCCCACTTACAGGGTGTGCACACACCCAGAACCCAGGCACAGGCAATGCACACGCACAAGCATGGACCGGGTCACGCTCTGCACCCCTGAGAACACGCACAGCACACATGCATGTCCAACGTGTGAGCGGACACAATGCACACACGGGCCACTCGTCTGTGACACGCACGTGTACACACACCACACACGTGCCCCACACGCCTGGTGACCCAGAGGCGGCTGGGGCCGGCAGGCGCCCCCCCCCCGCCCCAGCACCTACCGCCGGCAGCGCGAAGAAGGAGATGGCGAAGACGGAGAAGCAGGAGGCGATGGTCTTCCCGACCCACGTCTGGGGCACCTTGTCCCCGTAGCCGATGGTGGTGACCGTGACCTGGGCGGGGAGGGGCGGGGTCAGCGTGGGCCTCTGTCGGGCCCGACTTGCAGCCACCCTGCACACAGAGGCCGAGCGGGCCCCTCCACGAGACGGCGCGGCCACCAGGGCCCCAGAGCGACGTGGTGGGTGGGTGGGTGGGGTCTCCGGAAGTGCACACCGCCACAGCCGCCAGCTCCCCGTTGGGGGGTGGTGGGCACAGGGGCTCAGCACCCACCGAGCACCAGGGCCGCCCCTGGGGAGGAGCAGGCCTGGCCGCCCACCGGCCCCACGCTGGAGGCGGCTGCCCCCGGGGAGGCTGGCTTGCTCTCGACAAGCGCTGGACGGGGACGACACGCCACTTCCTGACACCACCACACATGTTTCCCGTGTCTTTGTCTTTTCCCAAGGGGAGCAGACGCAGCTCAGCCCTCCTGCTCGGAGGGGGGGCCATCTGCACGGGGCTTGGGGGTGATGGTGGGGAGGGGCCGCCTCTGGCTGCCATCTGAGGCTCTCCCCCGAGGTCTCCCTTCAGAGACTCCAGAGCCCACCCTGTGGGCCAGCTGCTCGGGCCCTGCACCCCTGGCCCACAGCTGCCCCCCAGAGTCCAGGTGTCGCAGGAGCCGGCTCTGAGCTGGCAAGGGGCCCGAGGACGGTCCGTGTCACCACTGGCCTGTCGACACGGGCCGTCACACCTGCACGCCAGGGCCACGGGCACAGTGGCCCGGAGTGCCCATGAGAGGGGCCATCCTGGAGGGACCTGCCCGCCCTGTGGACCTGCCCATCTGTCCCAGGCGGCCTGGCCTCGCTCCCGTGGGGGCACCAAGCCAGTGAGGGCAGCCTCCGAGAGCCCGGAAGGTCCACGGGGAGTCCCCCCCCACCTTTATGCCCCTGCCCCATGAGTCTGCTGTGGGGAGTGGGGATGTGGAGGGAGGGCCCAGGAGGCCCCCCCGAGCAGCCTCTGTCCCTCTGAAGGCGAGGCCCCCACGTGGCACAAGGGACAGCACAGAGCCCCCAGAGCGAGGCGAGAGGCCGGCGGGAAGCAGGAGCCAGGAAGGACCCTGGGCTGTGGGCAGGACGACAGCACAGGGCGTGGGAGACATGAGGGCGGGGCCTGAGTGGGCTCCAAGCAGCCCCTGCACAGACCCGCCCTGGGCGCACACTCACAGACCTGCCTTCCACACTGGGGACACTGCACACATGGGGAGGCGTGTGAGGCAACATGGCACATATGTATGTATGAGCACACACGCATATGGCATGGCAAGGCCACAGGGGCTGGTGCCAGGTCGGGCATGACACTCCCAGGCTCACTCAGGCCCGACACCTCACGCCCACCCCCCACACGCATGCACATGCCTAGGCCTTGGCCCGGGGACCTGCAGGGCGCACCAGGCCACCCTGGGGCCACGGCGGGGCTGGCAGCCGACGGGCAGATAAGGGGGCCCCGGGCAGCCCAGAGCCCCGTTGTCACCAGGGTGTCCTCTCCGAGGGCCTGCACCCCACGTGCGGCGTCTGGGCCACAGCTGCCTCTCAGGCGGCCTGGCACGCGGCCTGCAGGCCGACCCGGGGTGGCCCGGGCGGGGCGCTGGGGAGCGGGCTCCTCTTCCGTGAGCTGGTTTCACGCATGCAAACACGCACCACTCGTGTGAGCAAACACCTACTGCTCTTGGAGCGAGCGGGTATGAAGACGCTGAAAACGCCCGGGCCTGGGCCCTGCCGCTGCCCACCAGCCAGCCAGCACAGTCCGGGTGCCCTGGCCAGGCGTCCCCCACCTGGAGAGCACATGCCCAGGGCCAGGAGGACGGCCTGGGCCCCTCCCTCAGACCCTGCCCCAGACCCCCTTCGTCAAGTTGACGACGTCCCTTCGGCTCTTCGAGGAGATGGCCCAGCCCCACGACGATGTTTGTTTTCCCGAGTTCGCAGCCCCAAGCAGCCCCGGAACAGGCCGTTTTACAGCTGCCCTTCACGGAACTCGCCCTGGACGAGGGGGATCTAGGATTGCAGATCCGCACAGCCGAGGGGCCCCCAAATGTGGGGAGACACGGCTGGGCCACTGCGGCCCTCGCCTGGGCGCCAGGCAGCTCCCCCAAGGCCCCACCAACACAGCCGGCTCGTCACGGGGCCCGGAGCCGGCCTCGTGTTCCCAGTGGCCTCTAGGCCTCCACTGCCGCGTTGGGGACCGGGACGGGGAGAAGCTTCCAGGCCCTGCCCCTCCCTCTCTGCCCTGAGGAGCGGGGGCTGGTACCACCCGACTCCCCCCGTCCTGCGGCAGCACCCTGCAGGCTGCCCTCTGAGGGGACGCTGGCCCAGTCACGGCCACACCACTGAGCAAGCGGTCAGTCTGCGGCCGCCACCACCACAGGCTGGACACATCTGGGAGATGTCACGGCCCTCCTTCCAGAGGGGAGGGTGGCCGACGGCAGGAGGCAGGACACTGCCAGCCAGGACACTTAGGGGGTCCCCAGGGTGGCACCTGCATCTGACAAGTCTTTATGGAGGAGGAAACGGAGGCTGGGGACAGGGGCCACCACTATGCCAGAGGCCTTGGAGGCTAGCCCGGCCTGGGGCCGCCCAGGTCCTGTGTCCCTGCACCAGCGTGGCCGGGCTGAGACAGGACACCCGGACTGTGAGAAGGGGCCTGTGCCCTGGGCCCCCATCATGGCACCGTGACGGGGGGTGTCCAGACCTCACGTTCTCGCTCCCGTCCAGCTCCGGCCCCAGGGCCCCGGCCACCACGTCCCCATGCCGCTCCCTACACCAAGCACCTTCCTCCCTGTCGGGTGAGGCTGATGAGAACCGAACCCCACCCCCCAAGGAAATCATCCCCGTGACTGCCGTCACAGGGCCCGCCGTCACAGGGCCCGCCAAGTCCCAGCGACAAATGCTCCCAGGCATCAGCTCCTGGGCAGCAGATGGACCTGCCCCCACAGACTCCTACTCATCCTGCAAAACCCAGCTCTGAATGCCCTTCCTCAGGGAGTGCTCCGGCGAGGCTCCCAGAGCCCGCTGGCCCACAGGTGCAGGACTCCTCAGGGGCTGCTCAGCCCTCAGCCGCCTCGCCCGCCCAGGCTGTGCCGGGGCCCAGGTGGCGGAAGAGCCCCGGATGGGGGGGGCTCTGAGCACAGTGGGGCGGGCCGGGGCTGCCACCCGGGACCCACGGGGCCTCCTCAGTTTCCCCAGCGTCAGAGGAGGTCCTGACAGTCATCTTGCATGTGACCGTGACTGTCTGGGAGGCCCTGTCCTTGCCCAGGTGCCACCTGGCCCCCGGAGCCCCCCGACCCCACCCTCCCAGGATGCCGCGCAGCCCGAGCGGCCAGGGGGCCTTCCGGAGCCACCGGCGGAGGAAGGGGGAACAGGAGTCCGACTATTCGAGATGGTGGCCGAGACGCGGGGACAGGCTGCCAGCGTTTTCGCTCCACGTTCTAAATTTAGACGCGGGGGTAAACAGAGCCCGCTGCCGCCGCCTCGGACTGCAGAGACCCCCGGGCGCGGGACAGTGAGGGGCCTGTGTGTGGGAAGGCGGCCCCTCCCTCCTCTCCGGCCGCGGCGCAAACAGACGCGTTTTGTTCCAGCGGCGAAGGAAAAAGCCCGAGATCCTCCCCAAACGCCCAGCGGCCGGGCGCGGGGCGCCACATGGGGGGCGGGGCGGCCTCACGCCCGAGGTGGGTGACCCCACTGGAATGGGGGGACAGGAGGAGACGCCCGGCCACTGGGCCGGCACCTTCGCTGCCGAGTGCACGCCGAGGCGAGGGGAGGGCAGGGCAGGGCAGGGCAGGGCAGGGCAGGGACCTTTGCAGGAGGCCCACGCAGGGCACCTGCCGCCCTGAGCTGCCGAGTGGGGTCCCCACCCCTGAAAATGCAGGTCCACCTGTACCCTCGGAACAGGAGCTCACATGGAAGTAGGGCCCGGGTCGAGGGGGTCGAGGGGGTCGAGGGGGTCGAGGGGGTCGAGGGGGTCGAGGGGAAGCTCACGAGTTCAGACCAACTGGGGTGGCCCCGGGGCGGCCCTAACTGGTGGGCAGTGTCCCCGAAGAGGCAGGAGATGTGGCCACAAGCCCAGGGATGCCCGGAGCTCCCGGACGCCGGGAGGAACGCCCCTCCCCAGGAGCCTTCCTTCGCAGGGAGCGCGGCCCGGGGACACCTGGACCTCGGACTTCCGGCCCCCCGATCAGGGACGGCACGCACGTGTGCTGTGTGCGGCAGGACTCGGGCGTGGCAGCCCCTGGGGACGATCGTACCCCCTGTCCCCGGGGACACCGCGCCGTAGGCACGTCGGCTCTTTTGTTCACCGACACCAGCTGGCCTGGCGGAGCGGCAGAGAGGCGGAGGGCCACCCCGCGCACCCATGGGCCACCCCGCGCACCCACAGCCCAGCGGGCACACAAGTGTCCGCACACGCAGCTCCCCGGCGCTCTAGAGGAGGCGCAGTGGACGGCCCCTCCCCACAGCCTGGCCGCCCCGCTGCCGGCGTGTCCCCCACGTCTCGGAGAGGCTGGCCTGGCGGCAGGGCGGCCCAGTGGACAGGCCAGAAATGGCCCTGCCGACGGCCCCACCGTCCACTGGGTAGAAGTGCCCGGCGTCTTGGGGCGCTCGCGCCCACGGAGGGTGGACAAAGCCGGGACACAGGCAGCTGATAGGAGGCGGCGGCTCAGCCGCAGACGCGCACGGGCTGGAAGCGCCGGCCGGGCCGCCCGGCTTCGGTTTCTGCAGCTCTGTTTGTCCGGGCCGCGCCAGGAACACAGCCCATAACTCAAGCCTTGGGGGCCGCCCGGACAGCTGCAGGGGCAGCGGCCGCTATGAATGGGAGCCGTTTGCCCCGGGGCCCGGGTGTCGGGGGCCCAGGGCAGCCCGGGGCCCGGCGGGAACAATGGCCGGGCCGGGGCCCGCGGTGGCCGAGGCTGGAGCTGCAGCTGACGGCCAGAGCCGGGGCACCGGTGCCAAGCCGGGCACAAAGGGGCCGTTTTCCTGGCCGGCGGGCGGATGTTTGCACAGGTGTGGGAGTGGGCGCGCCGCTGCGCCGGGGGCGGGGGGACAGGGGGGGCTCGCTGCCCGCGGCTGCAGGAGTGGCTGGGGGGCGGGGGCGGGGGCGGGGGCGGGGGGCGGGGGGCGGGGGTGCAGCTCTGAGGCCGGGCACCACTTAGCCGCCGAGCCTCGGTGTGCACCGCGTGCTCCGGTCCCCTGGGAGTCCTCCCGGCTCCGGGCAGCCCGTCCCCTCTGTCCACCACGGGCAAGCTCTCTACCGGGGACCGAGCCCTCCTCCCTCCCAGACCCGCCGGGGCTGCCCCACCTGGGCCTGTGGGCCCCGGGAGGGAGGGAGGGAGGGAGGGACAGGCAGATGGCGGACAGGGGCCAGCACCCGGCCCTCCCTGCCCGGGAGACGGGCCAGCCCGTCGGTGCCCGTGCTGCCTGGCCTGGTGCACCGGGAGCTCCCGGAAAACTCCCTGACGCGCCGAGGTCGGAAGCCCTCTCTGCACGCCGGGCGTCACGGGGTGGGGACGCGGGAGCGGCAAAAGCCTGCCTAGGGCCACAGGGTGGTCCCCCACCTGGGTGAGCGGGGTGGGCCTCCCCCCGGGGAGAGGGAGGGAGACACGGCCAGCTGGCCGGGGCCCCTTGCACCCTGTGCTGCTGCCCCCCAGGCCCGGCCCACCTCCTGCGTGCAGGCGGCCACCCGCTCCCCTCCCTGGCCCGAGCAGGCCTGGACGTCGGCCACCCCCACCCCGACCCCCAGCCTGAAGGGCTCCCACGCGGCCGCTCCTGCTGCCGGCAGCTCCTACGGGCACCTGCTGGGCTCTCGCCGAGGCTCCAGCCCGTCCCAGACCCTCCTGGGCCCGTGTGCCCCAGAGCGCTGTGCCCCGCAACCACACCCCGTCCTCCCCTCGGCAAGCGCCCGGCCAGCCCTCTCACGCCCAGCTCTGCCCAGCAGGGTGTCCGGCGTGGGAGCTCGGAGTCCCCACTGACGAGGCCCAACATCTCAAGAAGCCAGAGCCCAAAGGCCCACAGGGCGACGCCCCAGCCCCTCCTCTGCCCGGGCCCCGGGGACAGCGGCTGCGCAGCCCCCCCCACAGGACAGCGCCCCCCAAGGGTCCCGACTTACCACCCCCCACCAGAGGGCGTCGGCGTAGCTGCCGAACTCGACGCGGCCTGACTCGTTCACGGCGTCCTTCTCGGCCAGGTACACGAAGTAGGAGGAGAAGATGAGGCCCAGGAAGCCGATGTACAGGGTGGTGATCAGCTCCTGGGGGCGGGCAGGGGGGCGGGCAGGGGGGCGGCAGGCCGGTCAGCGCACGGGGCGGCAGGGACACGGCACAGGGACGCGGGCGGCCAGGCCCCACGGCTCCCGGACGGCTCCACGCGGACCGCGCCGTGTCCCCCACGCAGCCGGCACACGTCCGTCACCGTGATCCAGGTCCCACAGCTCCTGTGCACGGCCGCTGTGGGGCCGGGGCCCCCCACCGCACAGCCCTGCCCGGGCCCCGCCCCCACCGGGGCCCCACCTGGCGGTGGATGAAGACCACGGAGCCCAGGAGCCTCCAGGTGCCACCCTGGCGGTCCACGTGCAGCATGCGCAGGATCTGCAGGAAGCGGATGCCCCTGCGGGGGAGAAGCCTGTGTCCCCACGGGGCGCGTCCCCGCCCCACAGCCCTCAGGGCGAGTGGCCCTCGTGCCCTCGGCCCCTCCCCTCCGGCGCGTCTCCACGCCCTGCCTGCCCCTGGGTCGCCGCCAACCCAGTTTGCGGATGAGCAGACTGAGGCTCCCGGGTGGTCCGGTCGCAGCCTGCGTCCAGGCAGCGGGAGACAGAACTTGTGCAGAGTCACCCCCTCCCGGCACGCTGCCCCCGGGCCCGCCCACAGCTGGGGGATGGGAGGCGGCGCCTGGCACTGGGGCGTACCTGATGGCCGAGGTGGCGAAGACCTGCCCTTTGGAGCCCACGCAGAGCACGACCATGGAGGCCACGACCACGATGAGGTCTGGGGGGGGGGGGCAGCAGGTCGCCACCGTCACCAGCCCGGCAGCCGGCTCAGGGGAAAGGGCTGGGCAGAGGGGTCAGGGGGGGGCGCCTCACGCAGGGACCTGGGACCCTCGGACGGCAGGCCCGGCCCCGTCTCGGGCACCTGCAGAGCCACCCGGTCCCCTCCCCCTCCCCGCCGGCCTGGGGGGGCGGCAGACGCCCTCGTTGTGCCCGGCACCACTGCAACCCCCGTCCTGCGAGCAGCGTCTGGGGGCGGGGTGCTGAGGCTGGCCCTGTGCCGGAGCACCCGGGGGCCCCCCTGCTGGCCTTGGGGTCCTCCCCGTCCCAGGTAGAGCGGCCTGGGCTCTGTGTCCTCAGGGACGTCCCAGGGGTGCCCCTGATGGCGGTCCCCCCCAATTCCCGGCCTGGAGACCCCAGGGTGAAGCCCCCCCCCCAGGGGGACCCACGCGACTCACCGATGATGGAGATGGGCTTGCGGGCGAAGCGCAGCCGCCCCCAGACGCCCACGTACTTGCTCCGGCAGCCCGCAGACCAGAGGCGGACCACGTACTCCGAGCCGAAGAACACCACCAGGACGATCTCCTGGGGGGGGACAGGGAGGAACGGGGGGGCGTGAGCACGTGCGTCCTGCGGTGGGGCTCTGCGGCCCGCCACACCCGTGCACAGCCCCCCCCAACACGGGAGCCTCCGCAGAGAGACACCCCACACCAGCGGCCTGCATCCAGGTCCGTGAGGTGGGGGGACAGGCTTCTAACACGGTCCACCCGGCCAGACCCCAGCCCGGTCCACTGCCCGTGGACACCCAGTGAGGCTGGCGGCCCTTCAGACCAGGGCCTCCCGGGCCCAAGGGGACCCCCGCACCAGGGCCCAGGGTCGGCTCTGGGTCCGGTGCCCTCGCCTGGCCCGGAGGGGCAGGGTGGCCCAGGGGGCCTGTGCTCTCCACAGAGCCCCAGGGGAGCCCTGCACCCCCAGCTTGGGGTCAGAGAGCATCCACCCTCACGGGACTGTCACTCCGCCACCTCACACAGCTGCCAGGTCACCGGGCCACGGCATCCAGGGAACAGGGTTGGAGGCCAGAGCAGGCAGGGGCCGGGGAGCTGGGCCCCAGCAGGGAGGGGAGCGTGGGGGGGGGGGCACTCAGGGGGCGTCCCTGGCCCTGTCCTGAGAGGAGGGCGGAAACGGGGTTGGCTGGGACCGTGCCCCCCGGAAGACCCCGGCCTGGGCCCAGAAGGGCTGTCCCACACATCCGTCTGCGGTCAGGGGCTGGGAGGGGCGCACGGGGAAGCCAGGAGGCCAAGGCTCGGGCTTGGGTTACGGTGGGTGGGTGCGCGGTGGCCGGCCGGAGGGAGGGAGGGAGGGACAGGTGGGCAGACGAACAGACGGACAGAGACGGCTGGTGTGGATGTCATCCTCGGGAGGAGGGAGCCATGGTCCACCTACAGACGGTGCAACCCCCACGCCAGGGGCCAGTGTCTGGACACACAAAGCCTGATGGACTGAGTCGCGGAGGAAGAGAAAACCCGAATCAAAACCCCCCAACAGCCCCCACCCCGGGCATGGCCCGGCCAGCGGAATGTCCTCCCACAGAGCGAAAGGCCGCCAGTCTGATTCCCGGTCGGGGCGCCCGGGCCGCGCCCGGGCCGCACGCGGGTCCCACCCCGGTGAGGGCGCCTGCACGAGGCAACCCGTCGAGGCTTCCCTCTCGCACGGGTGTTTCTCTCCCTCCCTCCCTCCCTCCCCCTCCCTCTAAAATTAAACACATTTTAAAAATTAAGAACAAAACAACGACAAAACCCTCCGAAACAAAGGGAAACCCTGGAGCCGAGGGCCCTGCTGGCGAACTCCACCGAACATTTAAAGAACTGGCACTGCTCCTTCTCAAACTTCTCCCGGAGATTCAAGCAAGGAGAGAGAGCCCTTCCGGATCCCTTCTCTGAGCCCCGCACGTCCCCGGTCCCCAAGCCAGACGGAGCCGCGCGGCGAGGAAAGGAAACGCAGGCAGCGTGCGCTGTGAGGACGCCAGCACCAAGGCCCTCCGCGAGACGCCAGCGGGCGGGACCCTGCGGCCCACTGAACAGATCCTCTGCGGTGGCCACGCGGGACCCGCTCTTGGAATGCAAGGACAGTTCAGCACGTCCGCGCCGGCCACGCCCTCACATCACAGCAACGGAGTTGGGGGAGGGGAGCACACGGTCCCCCCGACTCAGAGATGGCGCTGAGAGTCGACACCCTTTCCCGACAAGAGACACTCGGCCGGAGAAGCATGGAAGGCAGCTGCCTCTTTGGAATAAAAAGTCATATTTAAAATAAAACCACGGCATTGAACACCAGGTCAGCGGCCAATGATGGACGTGTGCCGTGTCCGCTCAGCACAGCCCCAGACGGTGCGGCCGGAGCCGCGGGGCAGGGGGGAGATGCAGGGCACCCGGACGGAAGGCACGAGTAGAGCCCCCTCGGCCTCGGCCTGCAGGTGACGCCGCCCCACACGCGGACGGACCGCCGCCCTCGCCGCGCCACGGGGGGGCGGTCGGTGGGACCCAGCAAACGGACCCGGCGAAGTCGGGTGCTGAGTCCACACGGACAGTTTACAAATCCGTCACCATCTCTGTGTCAGCGGCATTGTTCCGGCGAACAATGGGCAATCCGAAGAGGAAGTCGCCAAGACAATTCGGTTTACACTAGTGTCAAAAAGCACGCTTATAAATCAGCCGAGGGGGTGAAGGATTGGGGTCAGCGGGAGAGAGGACCGGGAGGTCAGCCACGACACCCACGGGTGGGGGGGCGGCTGGAACGGGGCCGCTGCTAAGCTGTGCAAGCGTCTCCCCGGGGGACAGCGGATTCAGCGCGAAGAACGCTCTCAAGGCCGTGCGCCGCAGAAACAGAGAAACCGCCTCAAACGTGGAGGGCGCCTCCGGGGACACCAAACAGCACAACAAAATGCGGCCCGTCCGCACCGTGGAACATCGCCCGGCCCTGAAGAGGAAGGGGACCCTGGCCCGGGCCCTGTGGACGGACCCGAGGGTGTTCTGCCGAGGGCGAGGGGCCGGCCCGGGCCCCTGACCGCCGGCTCCCTGCCCCACTGTCCCCGGGGGCCTGTGTCCTGCTGGGTGACCGCGGCGGGCCCTCCCCGCCCGGGAGCTGACCACCGTGGTCAGCTCCCGTGTCACTGATCAGGACGAAATCAAACATAGCCCCCCTCCCCGCCCGCTGTGTGTTGGGGCGACCTCAGTGAACGGTGGGGGGCCGTGTGGGAGTGTCGACAGCTTCCCTGTTGCATGTTTCTCGGTTTGTAACATCACGTCCGTCGGGGGGCTGCAGGGGTGGGTGCTGGGGGGTGTGTGTGGTTGGGTGCAGGGGGGACACGCTGGCACACACGCAGGCAGGGGCTCTGGCCTCAGGGGGCGAGAGGCACCGGTCCCCCCCTCCCCCCCACCGGCTCCGGGGCAGCGGCCTTGACCGGGGGCTGCCATCAGCAGGGACCTCATCTTGCTCACGCGTTTCCCAGGACAGGAACGGAGAGTGGCCCCCGTGCCGTCAGGCGGGCGGGTCCACCCTTTCCTTAGAGGCTTTTTCCTCATTTTGTTGCATTTTTAAATAATCACCGCATGCTTCCCTCCGCTGCGTCCGAAGCGGCAGACCCGAAGCGCTGTAAGCGTCTCGGCGCAGCCCCTTCAAGTCAACAGACATCCGGCATTTCTGCTGACATTTCTGCTGACGGCTGCATGTCCCCCCCCCTGCAGCCCCCCAGCCCCCCAGCCCCCCAGCCCCCAACCCCGTGAGCCTGGCCTCTGGCTCCAGGGGGGGTCTGGCCGGAGCTCAGCCGCCCCTGCCCTGCGGGCTGGCCCGCTGCAAGGCAGGGTCCCCTCTGGAGGGTGAGGTGTAGGAATAATTTTAAACAACGCTAATCCCCAAATCCTGTTTGAGTCTGGAATGCAGAGCAGGCAGGCCAGCCGCCCGGGCTCTGCTCACCGCGTCCAGGCAGCCCCAGGCGTGGGGCCTGCCGACGTGGTGGGTGGGGGCGGGGGGAGTTGGGGGGGGCCGGCTTGCTCAGAGACAAAGTGACTGCCACCCGCCTCCAGTGCCCAGCAGGATGGCACTCGGGGCCAAGGCCGCGGCTTGACCTAAAACCCAGGCGCCCTCGATGGGACGCCAGGGACAGATGTCCTGGCCTTTCCAGCACGTCGCCGCCTCTGGAAGCCAACCCTCTGTGGCCGGGGTGCCGGAAGGGCTGAACGGGCTCGCGGGCGGGGCCTCGGACACCCCGGCCTGGGCACTGCGGCAGGGGCCTCGACCAGGGGCAGGGGCAGGGCCTGCAAGAGGGCTGACCCCCCGCCGGGCCATCTCACGGTGCCACCCTTCATCCGGGGGACAACACCCCCAGCCCGAGGCAGGCTTGAGGGAAGGCAGGGTCTCCCCCTCCCTGTTCTGGGTTCCGGGAGGCCCACCTGCAGCCTCAGGGGTCCGGCCACCAAAGGGTGACCCCCCTGGCAGGGGCAGGCCCCCAAGCAAGCCCCCAAGGGGATTCATGGGATGTAGGGCCGGCCCTGCAGCCCAGCCCAGCCCAGCCCAGGGGCTCCCCTGGCCCAAGGCATCCGTGCACCCCACTGCTCCCCTCCAGACCCACCCCCACCGGGTCCCACCGCCCTCTCGGCCCAGCCCAGGCACCCCCATGCCCCCTGGGGAACCCCACCCACCACACCTGTGGGGCCCAGGGACCCCCTGGGCTCTCCCGCTGACAAGGGAGCCAGCCAGTCCGGAGGGCCCTCTCCAGGAACCCTGGGTGTGCTCCGGGTCAGGGACGGACACGGCCTTGAACTCGACCCCACAGACGTGAGGGGAAAGCTGTGCTGGCGTCAAGTTCAGGACAAAGGACTGCCCCACCCAGCCTGGCCACGGCTGGCCTCACGGATGGGGGGCCTCCGAGTGGTCCGGGGTCCAGCCCCGAGCGCTCATGGCCTGCCAGAGGCCGGCAGAGACAGGGCTGTGCTGGGTCCCGGCCGCCTGCTGGGACCCACCTTTCCCCCGACAGCAGGGGCGGGTGTTGCGGAAGCCCTCGGCAGTGGCACTTGTATAATTCAGAACTGCTGTTGAAGACAAAGTCCCCCCCCACACACACACACACACACACACACCCCGTGAGAAAATGGGCGAAACCCTGAACAGGCATCTCCTCCGACGCACGAAGGGTCAGCACACGCGTGAAGACGTGTCTGACGTCACAGCCGCAGCCAGACGCCGCCTCACCCCCACCGGGATGGAACCCCCACAAAAACCAGTGCTGGCGAGACAGGGGGCCCGTGGGCCTGGGCGCAGCGGCTGCCGGGAGTGGGCCGCGGCGGGGACAGGATGCCGCAGGTCCTGGAACGCTGACACAGGACGGCCCGGTGACCCAGCAGTCCCGCCCTGGGCACACGCGGGCGGAGGGAGAGCGGCTGAAAGGTGCAAGTGGGTGCTTCCCGGCATTGCTGGCCAGTGTCCATGCGGCCTGCCCCCCACCACCCCCTGGGCAGGTCTCTGCACAGGACCGTCCGGGCCAGCCCCTCGGGGCAGCGAACTGCCCCGAATCCCTTCCTGGCCACCTG